GAAGAGCGGGAAGAGGTTGCACCGGCGGTGCGACAAAAGCCCTTTCACACATCGGTCACTGGAGTAGGAGGTGACCTCGGGGAGAAGACGCCCCGTGCCAACTCACAGGCAGAAAAGACGGCGCCCACGCCGCGGGCTACAACGGTTTCCCAAGGCGCTCGGCAGGCGCGGCGCTGCCAAGGCTTGTGCAACCCCGGGGACGAGCAGCCGCCTCGCCTCAGCCGGGCAAGAAAGCGGCACCAACCCAGCCAGAGCCAGCGCCGAGCGCTCAGCGAGCCCTACAGCCGACGGAGGCTCATTCAGCGGAGTTGAACACTCCAGGGCCTCAGTACGGCATTTTTGAGGAAGAGGTCTGAACAACCGCCAAGCTTCATTCATCCCAAACGCCTCAGGATTACTGTACATTTTACGTTACTACATAACTACGTTTTACAAGGGGCAGGAAAGTGATCTTCCAAGGCAAAGTCTGCCACAACTAACTACGCCGCGGCAATTTGGCACGAAGCTTTCTAAGCCTAACCCGCCCTCCTTCACAGCATCAAACCGCAACTGTCGCCTTCAGTGCAAACATCTGAACTCTGGGGGCTGCGAGGGAAAAGACCCGCCTGGAGTATAAGATCCAGGTGAGGAAGTTTAAGCTACAACCCAAGGGCCAAAGACTGCTCCGGCATTTCCAAAGATGTGCACGAAAGAGAGACTCTAGATGATAAACTCTAACATTGTCTTCATCAGAGAGAGAGAAAATAATCAAATCAAATCAGAGTCCTTGGCGGATCATTTCCAAACTAGTGCAATCAGTCACGCTCCGAACTTTAGCATCCAAATACAATGGACAGAAGAGGAGAACATCTGTGTCTCAAGCAAGACTGTGCTGGTTACAAAGGCAGCTCTATGACTCTGGAAGGGGAAGAGTCAGATGGCTCATTTCGCAGGCAGATTTTTCCCCCCCCGCCCCAAGAGGAGATGTCAGTACAGTAGACGGCGAATTCCATTTCATTTGGACACAAAAGTTCTGTCAAGTGCTGAGGACTGGCTTTTCCTGGGTCACAGGCTAGAAGCCAGACGCCCAAGCGGAAAACGCGTTCACCTTCAGGCAGCTGGGAAAGGAGAAATGCGTTTCGAGGCAGTGAGAGGTTCAACGTTACCAAGGTGCAGGTGCAAACCGAAAAGCATTTCCCCTTCTTCCTGTTGTCTGAAATCTGAACACAGCAGCACAGCTACAACTCGGAGCACTACAGCAGGGGAGTCAGTGGGTGTCCCAGTGTTCCTACATCTTCATCGCTGGCCATCATTATTCCACTGAGCATCTGAGGAGGAATCTAGATCTGGAAAGGCAAAAAGAAAGGTTTAAACAATTTGAAAGCTCAGCACTGCTTTTCTACTCTGACAAAGCATCAGGGTTTGAGCGGGTCGAGTGTCTCCGATGAACTTTCAAATAAAAACCAAGCTCTTTCTAACCGCCTGCCTGATCTACTGTGCCTCAGGGACAAGTCAGGGAATTCCTGGTAAGGGAAACAAATGCCCAAAATATCAGTGAGACTAAATGAGGAGGCTCAAGCAGGTAAATCGTCAGACAGCTTCCCCAGCCAGGCACGGCTGCAATTCAGGAAGGGAGAGAACTCAGCTTCCACTCCCAGCGGTGCCCTGCACTGCCGCAGAGCTGACAACAAGCTGAGGACGACACTGCCTTGAGTTTTATACGCAAAATCTCTAACGGTGTTTGAAAATGGCCATCGTCATGGTCCCCCAAATGCTGACAGCCTTCTGAAAGACTAAGTTTCAGCTTAACTTTTGCAACTTTTAAAAATTTTCTTTCCTTGTCTCCTCCTCTTCCCATTGCAGCAAATAACTACAGACACATCTGACTTCAAGGACAACAGGTGAAAAAAGTTTCAAGGGGAAGAAGAAAGGGAATTCTCCCCAGATCCTACCCTTCCCCTGCTAAGAACTTCTTGGAAAGTTATTTGAGTCAGTGACAAGCTATTCTTAACCACACCTGAGCTCGAGACTCACAAACTTCTGCTCTGTGTTAGCCCCCTCTGCCAGCATTTCTCAGCACTATTACTTCCACTTTCTGGCAAAACCTTGTTTCCAGACCAAGAGCGGGGTTTTTGCTAAAAAATCTGCTTTCCGGTACCAACCGCGTAGGGGCTTTGCGACCGTTTCTAATGCGAAAGGCCAATAAATCGCATTTACAATATACACCAGGCACTGCAACCTTCTCCCAGCCTGCCCGGCTCCCAGAGCGAAGGAGCACCCGTTTCGGGTAGATCTTACCTTTTGATCCAGTCTCTGATAATCGCCAGATTTGGGCCGTCGACCACTTTTCGATCTTTTCCCTTCCAGAGCAAAAGCAATGATCTTTGGAGAGAGAAGCGGGGACAAGGTGAGTGGGATGGTAGCGACCAAATACGCTTTTTCTCGGTTCAAACGCAGGCACTTTCTAATGGGCCGAAGACCAGCTTCACTTACCTCCTTCTAGTGACCGTATTTCATTTGAAAAAGCACTTGAAACAAATAAATGCCAATATATAAACCCAGCTAAGATTGAAAGCAGGTGATAATGAGGTTTGCCTAACATGCAGAAAACAGGAAGAATGTTTTCTTTCTTCTACCTCAAAAATAGCTTTACAGGAGGAAAAAAAAAAAAAACCAGCGCAAGACAGTTACGTCATTTGAGCTGCATCCCCCGTGCAAGACTATTTAAGGACAAGCCTTCTGCAACCTGTTATGGAAAACTCATTGGCAGTGAGAAAACACAGGGTAACTTCATACATCTTTTCCTTTTCACCTCTTTCAGCTGAAAATAACCACTAGAGCTGAGGTCCCCCTACTTCCATGGAGACTCAACCCCTTTCCTAGTTATACCACCCCCTCTGCTCCTCCTAAAGCTGTTGGGACCAAGGCTCAAATCAACATTAACCAAACCCACGCTGTGCAGCAAGCGGGTGGTATTGGCAAGAAGCAAAAGTCAGGGCGAGGGGAAAGGTCTTCAACCGATCTGTAGCGGTGACCAGCAAGAGGAAAGGAAGCTCCTAAACCGCAGGGGAGGTGTCGAGGGCCTGGGTAAGAAGCACAGCCACTCACCTTGCGCTTGTTGTGATACGCTACGTATAAGGCAGCAACGATAATAGCCGTGGTCACCAGATAGGCGAAGAAGTGGCTGCTCTCTGACTGGTCCCTGGGGGGAGAAGGAATGCTCTTCTCTCTCTCTTTGCTAAAGGAAGAACCATTGCTGCCTTCTTCAGCCCCATCCTCTTCCTTTTTGGGGCTTTTTCCATTGCCTGAAAAGCTGTTGCCCCCATCAGCGGAGGAGGTTAATTGTGGTGGTACATTTTTATCTGTCAATGAGCCCATTTGATTACCCTGGTTGTTGGGCTGGTTATTGCCATTACTGCCCGTGTTCTTGCTCTGGTTCTCGGTGTTGCTACCCTGGTTGTTGCCCTGGTTCCTGTTGTTGCCGTCCTGGTTGTTGCCCTGGTTCCTGTTGTTGCCGTCCTGGTTGTTGGGGTTGTCATTGTTGTTGCCGTCCTGGTTGTTGGGGTTGTCATTGTTGTTGCCGTTGTTCTGGTTGTTGTGGTTGTCGTTGTTGCTGCTGTCCTGCTGCTTGTGGTTGTCGTTGTTGCCGCTGTCCTGGTTGTTGTGGTTGTC